ATGCTAAGTATCTGATTAGATGAAGATTTCCGGTTGCCTGTATTTCATTTTCATTATATCCAGAAGGAAGGCACAAGTGCCACTCAGCCGTAAAGCTGCTGGCCCTGAAGCTCAAGTTCTAGTGGCAAGTACAGGGAAGGAAACATGAAACAACAAACCTTAGGATTTTGGCGCCATCAACTGGACTGTTTTCATGGGTTAACCTCTGTTTATCCTCCACCCAGCTGCTTAATCCACTAGAGCAATTTTAAATAGAAAAAACAAGCCTTATCATGTATAGGATGGCCCTCTGCCTCCAGCCTTCCTCTGTGGTCCCTCTTTCAGATGCCAGGGATATAATAGTCAAGTGCATCTCAGATCACCACTCCTGTCTTCCCAAGTTTCAATGGCTTCCAATTGGCAACCGGATAAAGTACATGTCAATTAGCAGAGAGGGAAATAAAATCAACAAAGATGGGGACAATCCTAAAATTAGCTACAAATAGAAGCAAATGGACCTAGCTGTATTTAAAATGGGTAACATATACACACTAAAGAGGAGGTTCTCTGTTTCAGGGAAACCCTTGGAATTCATATCCTCTGGAAAGCCTTCCTCTAATCAGAATTCATTTGTTTCCTTAGCACATTGCCCATGCCTCTCTCATAGCACTTATCTCCCTTTTTTGCATTCTAGGTAGTTTGATGCAGGTCGATCTATCACCCACAGGAGAATGTGAGCGCCTTAAGGATAAAGACAGCACCTGGTTCATCTCAGGTTCAAATAGCCCTGACACCTTCTCTGTGAAGGTGACCCTAAGACTTTAAAGGGGGTATCACCGCATATGCAGTTCATTCCGGGGCATTAATCCAGACAATCCAGGCCTGCTCCCAGTTTCTACATTTTACCTGTTCATTTTTCTCCATTAGACTGACCTCAAACTGATCTCACATTTTCTCCCTTTCTTATTTGTTGATTCACATTTTGGTGTTCCTCATTTCTGCAGTCCTGGTAATCAACTTCAAGGAATGCCTCCTTAAATTAAGACATTAGTGATTCATCTGTGTTCCTTCACCCTTATCTATATAGCTTGAACTTTCAGCAAAAACTATCTTGAAGTCAAAAAAGAACAGCAATAAGAAAACCACAGCCTCTACTTACTGAGAGCTTACTACGTGCTACTTGCTTTAACATACTGCCTCATTTAATTTTCACAGCAATTTAGTTCTTACTCATCCTTCACCTCTTAATTTAATCACTTCCTTAAGATTGCATTCTCTGATGTCCTATACTACACCAAACCTTTATTAACATTATCTCATAGCACTACGCATCTCTTTCATAATGCTTATCAAAGTTAAAATTTTACATTTTTTAACCAAAGTCTATCTTCTCTCTTGAACATTGATCCCTTTGAGGATTAATAATGTCTACTTATGTTCACCACAGTGTCTCCATTGCTAGCTAAGAGATAAGGATTAACTTGTCCAAAACTAATCCCCAGTAGATTGGCCTCCCAGAAAAAGATGGGTCTTATGCAAAGGTCAGTGGAAACTGGTTAAGAATAAGTTTTAAGGCAATCAATCATGGTCAGCCACACAGCTTGGACCACAGTTGCCTCCACAGCTATGAGGTTAGAAAAGGGCTAATGCTTCCTCAATCATGAATGCTGATGTAGCAAATCCTGCCACTAGTTTGCTACGTCACACAGCTTCAATTGCCAAGACATTGTCCCCAGTTCCCCAACACCTTATAAGAGGTGTTATTCACAGTAACACTTTCAAACCCCCATTTATAGTCTACCGCCACTCCAGTTCTTGGCAGATGGGCTGGCCAAAAACCTCCACTGGAAGTCTCAGTGTCCCATTTTCAACAAGTCTGAAGTAAGGCAGATAGATTTTATTACCAAGGCCTAACTCCTTTAAAACCCAACCATGAGCACTGAGTGACAAGAGGGTTAGAGCTGAGGTTCTGTCATGGCCTACTGCTATTGTATTCTAATTCCTAATTATTCCAGGGTAGGGGCTGGCACTTCCTGTATATGCAACTCAAAAGCCCCAGAGCCCAAATGTAGGAGTTCCCCCCTGCTCAAAGCTGATGCTGGATCCTGCATCTCTGTGCGTTCCCCTAGAACACACCTGGGCAGCCACCAACTGCTACTGCTCTGTCTCTGTGAATCTTTCTCAATGAACATGAATTCAGCAGCCAAATACATGTGCTGCTTTGCTGTTTGCCTTGTTGGTATGATACTAGCATAGTGCTTGACATACAGTGGGTACTACACAAATATTTGCTCAACATTGGACTAATAAATAGACCGATGGATGGACAAACAACCTTATGAGGTAAGCATACTTGTGTCTATTTTATAGGTAAGGGAAACAAAGCAGAGTGATTAAGTAAGTTGACCAAGATCACACAGCTAGTGAATGGGGCATACAGGATTTGAATTGAGGTCTATCAGATTCCATATCACTTATTCTAGATCACCACACTCTACTGCAACTCAGGGACTTCCCTAGGTGCACCAGATCCTAGGACAATTGTAAATAACAACAATAATAATAGCCACATTTTTAAAAATTCAGGCACTGTACTAGGTACTTTATTCATGGGGTAAAGTGAAGTCTAAGCCAATTATGCCAGAGAGTAATAATTCTAAGCCCTACAAGATTTGAAGGAATCAAGGTCTTGAAAATAAGGTCTATCTACCTCGGTTCAGATTGGTTAGGAATGGGGTACTGAGCCTGCTGGTGGAAATTTTGGGTCACCCTAGCTGTCAAGCAGTAGAGAAGGCAGAGGCAGCAGAATATAAATAGAGGCTGTAAAGACTCAAATATGTCTCCAAGACTTCAAGCTGGGTGAATATAGATTGCATAAACACAATGAAATTCTCAACTTGAACTTTTCCGAAGACTTCTAGTACTTAAGCAATCTTCTGGTCAATGGAAATGATAAATTGCAAAGGAAAGTCTGGCTAGTGCTGTATGTAGAATGCTATGCGACTACCATTTAATGAACTCCATTGCATTTCAGGCACTGTGCTGCGTGTTTTATATGCATTATCTTGTTTTAAACTTGCAAAAATTTTATGAGATATCATCACCGTTTGCACATGAAAACAACTGAAGGTCAAAATTTTTAAGAAATTGCCCATGCCACATAAATAACTGAAAGAGGACTCATACATATGACCAAAAGATTACCTTTCTACTATAACATGCAGCCTCCAAACATTATGGGGAAGTATCACTACTTTTTCCTCAAAAATTTCCTAATAGATCCTCGGATTTTTCATTCTCTTTGAGCATTTTAATAAATACGATAGTGGAATACATTCCATAGGGTCATTACTGCTCTGTAGCTCCTCTGGAGTTGTTTATTTTTTGCACTTCATACCCATGTTCAATGTCACTCACAAAATATTTAGACTTAGAATCATTTTTAAAGAGTTCTTCGATGTGCCACACTGTAAGAGAAATTAGCTTCAGAAAGAATGTCCACTACAAACAGAACATACAGATTCTGAAACGAATTCCCACCACCACTGGATTCCATGTGTGCACAGCAAAAGCAACCCAGTCCGGTCCTGCTTGCTGAGTTCTTGAATATGCCCATAAGAGAATACAATAACTGTCCCCAAAAAGGAAATTTCTGTGGAGGAACAGACAGAAAACCACATCACCTTTAAGGTAAAGGCTAAAAGGGAGGCACATGCACCTCACGTAAAGTCTAAGAAACTTTAGACCGGCAGAAAAGTCTTCCCCATCTTACCTGGCCTAAAGCAAAGGAAAAGGGAAGCTAAGGGAAAAGGAGGAAAGAAGTCTACCTCCAGCATACTAAGTGAGCCCCAGGACCCACAGCAGGATTCAGGTTGCAATCAGAAATGGAAGATGCTCAGGCCTCATCTAACGGGGAAATATTCAGTAATGCTGTCAGTTGCTACATGGACAGTTTGTATACACTTGGAATACTGTTTTGGACAAAAGGAATGTGGAGATGAGTTCTCAGAAACAGGCTGAGACAAGCTCAAGACAGAGAACATTAAGGTTTTGGTTATGAGATGTAGAGTCCTTAAATTATACCCAGTAGATAAGTTCTGCAAAACACCGGACATGCTCTCCCCTAATCATTATAAAAGCGATTACAAACAAGATTTCTTAACTAACTAGTTCTCTTGCGTATTTTCCTACACAGATAGCTTTAAACCATTATTTCGAGTAAAGAAATACAGGGGCTGCTATATATGTACTTGGGAAATCTACAGCTTTTGTTCACTATGATCTCTTGAACTCATTTAAGCTCGGGATTTTCCAAATGTTTACACCTCACTTTTTTTAAAGTCTTAAATAATTTCAATATTCAGGAGATTACCTTTCACGAATAGCTAGTCTGTTAACTGGAAAAAGTCCTTCACGGCGATTATGCTTCAAAAAGAATGTCAAAGTGGAAAACTGCATTTTGCTCTAAGATTTGGTTCTCAGATATGCAAGTTCTACTCCTGAGGTTACCGTGAGCTAGCCATGAGCACAGCCTAGGATAGGAAGGAAGGTCCTATAAACTGAGTCAAATAGAAGAAGGCATCGCCCATGTTGATGACAGAACAAAGCCAGGAGAGAGAATCATTGTTAAGATACGAGCGTTGCAACTGAAAGACAGTTTCAGAACAATAGTTAACATTTTTTGAGTAGCCATTATATGCTGGTGCTGCAGTAAGCTCTACTTTTCAAATTAAAATTTGTATCATGAAATATTTTGAAATCATAGAGTAAGCGATGGCAAGGCACAGACCATAGAAATTTAAGGCGTTAACACGGTCATTTTTGCTTAACATCCATCTTTTTTAAGAAATAAAACAAAACATTACAAATTCAGCCAAAGCCCACTCTTCATATCTCCCTTTCTCCTCACACTAAATATCCTGAGTTTATGTGTATCACTCCAATCCTATTTTGTTCTTTTTTAATTATACCTATATTGATGCAATTTGCCTTTTTCACCAAACAAATGTTTTGATACTTACCTGTGTTGATACATGTGGATGTGGTTGATTCCCATCAGCTTCCACATTGAACTTCATTATAAGAATAAACCTCAGTTGATCCGCTCCAGGTAGGATGTTTCTACTTTTTAAACATTCAAAGAGTGCTGTAAGGCCCAATCTTGTGCATAGCTCTCTGTGTACATGTGCAAGTTTTTCTAGGTCCTCTCCTTGAAGTGCAATTTCTGAGTCATAAGGTATCACCCTCCAACTTTACTAGGCATTGCCAAAATTATTTCCAAAGTGATTGTGCCAATTTATACATCTATCAGAAAAGTATGAGTTCTTTTGCTCATTTTTTCTTGTTTTTTCTTTCTTATTGATTGCTAAGCATTCTTTTGGAAGTTATTTCAATGCAAATAAATTCTTCCAATCTATGTTCTGATATTTCGCTTTAACAGTGTCTTTTATCATAAAAGGTAACAATAATAATGTGCAAAATTACATCAAAATTTCCTTCTAGGTTTGTGCTTTTTATGTCTTAAAAAGGAATTCTCTACCCCAGTGTGACACATTTCTTCCTTATTTTCTTCTAAGTGTTTAAAAATTTTCCTCTTCACATTTATATCTTCAAGCCATCTAGAGCGTATTTTTGTGTATGCTGTGAGTTAGGGAAACTCATTTTGTCTTTTCGCAAAGAGATAGCCATTAAAAAAAAAAAGTCCATCCTTTCAGCAATGACTTTTAAAGCTATCTCTGTCATATATCCTGTTTTCATACACAAATGGGCCTGTTTCAAGGCTCACCATTTTGGTCTACTGGTCTGTCTATCCTTGTCTGCTGATAAGACAGCTTAAATTACTAGGACTTTGTAATAAGTCTTGATACCTGCTAAGGTGAGTCCTTTCTAATTATTGCTTTTCAGAATTGCTTTGGCTCTTCTTGCTCTTTACTCCACCATACAAGTTTTAGGATTAGCTAAATCTCCCATTAGTGTCTTTTTAACACCTGTTTCTTAATAATTTGTTGGTACTGAAGTGAAGCTATTGATTTTTTTCAGTTTTGTGGTTGGCTGGCCAAATCTTTTATTTAGTATTCCATCGTTGATAAATACAAATAAATGGCGTTATTGGGAAAGAGGGGAGGGGAGCTATGTGGAAAAAAAATCATGTAACTTCATTTGAAGTCTACTGATTTTCCAAATTAATTTGGTGAGGTTGAGAATAGCTTGATAAAAAGTCTTCCTAACCATGACATGCTATGAATCTCCATTTATTCAGTCTTCTTTTTAATAAAGATTAACAATTTTTCCATAAAGGTCTTACACATTTTTGCTAGATTAATTCCTGTTTTTTTTTTTTTTTTTTTTTTGAGGTATTCTTGCATTTGTTCTTCTGGGCCACTAATGCAGCCTCTCCTGTAATTCACCTACTTTATTATTTTTTTGAAAAATCATGTTTTTAGAGTTGTGTATATGAGTGCATTACATTCAGATCGCTTTAAGCACATTTTTGTTGTTCAGGTATTCATCTCTTTCCTCCAGCAATTATTACACTGAACATGGGTCCTAATATTTTAACCTGATCCTCTTTTTTTCTGGTTGCTAGAGTCCCTTGACTGTCTAAGTAACTTCTCTTAAATAAATAGAATTCCGAAGGTGCTGAATAGAAAAAGTGTTTCTCGCCCTGAGTTTGGGGTGAAAAGAGGAGACTGTTATATCCCTCCTGAGGCACCCTGGAGGAAGCCTCTCTGATCTTTATCAGCTCAAGCCCTTCCTCCCACTTTAAGAGTATGGAACACTCAACCCATCCCCTTGCCTTTTGTGGACAGAAGACTCAGGTCCCTCATACCAGGTAGAGATCCTCAGATGCTTAAATGCCAAGCTCTCTCAGGGATTTTCTGAGCTTCTGAGCTTTGATGCTGCTCACATTTGATTCTCTACCCCTAGGGGAAGAAGCCCAGTTCTCTCCACAGGAGCCAGGAGTTGCCTCTAGAGCCAAGGGCAAGTAGCCTGGAGTTAGGAATGGAAGCCATTATGATCCCCAAATCCACCATTGGTATATTTTCTACTTGTTTCTTTTTTTCTTTTTCCCTACTTGTTTCTTAATAACTTGGTGGTGGTGAAAATAAAGACTATTAATTGATGTTTTTTGCAGCTTTGTGGTTGGTTGGCCAAATCTTTAATTTAGTATTCCATCGTTGTTCAACGGTATTTTGGGGAGCAAGGGGACAGGAGATTCTGTACATGCCCAGGCTAAAAGCAAAAAGGCAAAAAATGGCCAGCATTATCCATCTGCTTTTTTAGATTTAGAGAGTGAATAGAACTTTCTTTACATAAACATCTCATCTAAGTGGTTTTGGTTGTTGTTGCTGGTCGTTTGTTTCTTAATAGTGGGTACAGTGAGATTCAGTTTGAAGAAACCCCTGAAATCTTGAGAATAGCATACACCAGTCCCTCCCACTCTCTCCCCAAAAATCTGGTTGGTTTGAATGGAGAGAATGATCCATTTCTCCATTTTAGGTGAGCAGATTATTTGTAAAATCTTAGAACTGTTTGCCTCATTTATCAGGAAAATTTAGAAGGGAGGAAGCCTTTAGGAAAATTTTCTACTTGGAAATATAAGAAGACTAGTACGCAGACTCATACTTTTAACATGAGCTTGTTGAAAGAAACGTTAACAATTCTAAAACGAAATTAAACGAGTTTTTAACTTTCTTCCTCCCAAAAGCACAAAAATTACGGAGAGGAAGTAAACAGGAAATTCTTAAAAGGTCAAAACAACTCTTCCTTGTACCAGTCCTTGGGTAGCTTGCAGAGAACAGGTTCTACTTTCCGTTGGTTTCTTTGAAAACGGATTTGGGTCCCAAGTCTGTTCGTTTAGTATCTGCTCCGGCCTCCCCCTCTCTCCGAGCGGCTTCCTAGGCGGCCTCCGCCCCGGGGGGCCCTGCGGCCCGACCGGCAGTAAGAATCGCGCGGCGGGGGGCACCCCCTCTCCATGGACGAGGGCAGCCCGCGATCCACTCTGCCTACCCGGTCGCGGCCCCTCGAGTAGTGGTCGCTCCGGCCACCGCCGTAACCGTCGCGGCCGCCGCCGTAGGCGTCGGGGGAGCAGCCCCGGTACTCGTCGTAGCGGCCTCCGCCGCCGCCGTAAGATGGCGGGGGCCCCCGCGCGGGGCCGGCGCTGCGCGGGTCCCCGTAGCTCTCGAAGGGGTCTCGGTAGGAGCCTCCGCTCGGATGATCCGCGTAGTCGCGGTCGCGAACCCCGTAGCCGTCGCGGTCGCCGTAGCCTCTCGATGGACAGTCGTCCCGGGCGCCGGAGTGGCCGTAGTCGCGGTAGGTGTACTCTCTGGGCGAGGGGGCAAACTCGCGCGGGTCGCGGGCGCTCGGGTAGTCTCGGCTCGAGTAGCCGTCCCTCGGCGAGTAGCCCTCCTCCCGGGGACCCAGGTAGGGGTCCCGGCGCGGGGGCGGCGGCTCCCGGCGCAGCGGGCCCACATAGCCGTCTCGCCCGCGCGCGGCCGCGGCCCGCCCGCGCATTCCACCGGCGCCGCTGCGGGGCGGGCCCGACGGCGCGGCCCTCTTGGGGGGCGGCCCGGCCCTGCGCGGCGGCGGCGGCCCGCGCTTCAGGGGCATAGGGGCCCTGGAGGGCCGCGGGTCGAAATCCCCGGGGTAGCCGCCGTCGTCGGCCGGCCCGCCCCGGGACGGGGGTCGCCGCGGGCCGCCGCCGCCCCCGCGGGTCCCGCGCAGGCCCCGCGGGCGACCGCGGCTGCGGGACAGCGGCGGGCCCCGCCGGCCGCTCTCAAACGCCGGCTTGGTGGCCTGGGCCACCTTGATGGCCTTACCATCCAGGGACTTGCCGTTCATGTCTCTGGCGGCGGCCTTGGCGTCTGCGGGGCTTTCGAAGGTGACGAACGCGAAGCCCCTGGACTTGCTGGTTTCTCGATCTTTCATCAAGAGCACCTCGATGATGCGGCCATACTTGCCAAACTCTGCCTCGAGGGCTTTCTCGTCGGTTTCGGGGTTGAGCCCGCCAATGAAGAGCTTCCCGGGGCGATCCGCTTCCACCATTTCGTCGGTTGAGTGGTCTGAGGCGGTGGGGGCGAAGGGGCGGCGGCGGTCGCGGCCTTCGAGCGCACTCGCCGAGGGCGGCTCCTACCGGTCGGGCGGCGCGTCGTCGCCGAGTCCCCGAACCGCAGTCACCGCCCGCGCTGCGCAGGCGGAACGCTCGGGTTTGTGCCTCTGGAGTCTGGTTCCCGCAGCCCCCGGGCTCGTCTAGCTGTGATTGGTTGGTTTTCCCGGGAGGGCAGTCCCGCCGTCGGGGAAGGTCGGCGGTTTTGTGACTTTCTTTCCAGTCTTTAAACCTCGACTTACTCACCTGTCCCTGCCTTACGTTCTTTACTTCACTCCTGAAAGCCCTGCCCTGAAAGGAAATGCCGTTAGGTTAAAAAAAAAAAAAAAAGTTCCCCATTGCTCCTAAGGAGAAGAATTATAATGCATTCCCATCCAAGATACCCAAACCATTTTCAAACAGAAAAAAGTTAATTGAAAAATGACATAAGTAATAATAGTTTAAAAATACAGTTTGTACGGAAAATGTATTAAGAATAAGATTTTTTGCATTGCCAAAGGGGAAGAGAAGACTTGATAAGTGGAGGCTCGTTGGTAGAACAGGAAGAAGGAGGGAGTCATTATTTGGATGCACCATTTTCTTCAATTTCTCAACCTTCGGAGGGCTCATAGTTATGTGGTATTGTAGCTTCCCTTTAAAATAAAGATATTGCACAGAAAGTCACCTTTAGGACAAAATAAAGGCAAAACGTGAGAGCCCTTGGACGCTTGTTAAAGTTGAACCTGAGCGAGCATAACACACGGAAACCTTCGCCTCTTCCTCTCGACAAGGACACGCCTCAGAAAAACAAAACATTTTGGGTTCATTCGTTCAAGTTATACAATTCAGATTTGCTCCTCATGATATTCTCTGAATGGAAATGTGTGAAGAGTAAATTGGTGAATGTATCTTTGCTTGAGACTGTAATGTCTAAAACCACTTTTCTTTTTAACTATAGTGTTTTTCAAAGAGTGGTAGAAATTTTTCAAAGGCTGCTATGATGAAAAGTTAACTGAATGGTCATGAGAAGTTTCTATGTGTGTCTGTACATATATATGTACACATATGTGTTACATTGGTTTATTGCGATAGCTAATATAATGTTGAAGGAGGTAGTGAAAACAGGCATTTTTATGATGTTTCTGACTAATGTGGATTTTTTAAGGTTTTAAGATTTTTTAGCATACATGAATGGAAGTTAAATGCATCACGTCAGTTTATGTGATGAATTGCAGTAGCATATTTTTGTTAAGTCATTATTCTATTTCTAAGGTAAACCTACCCGTTTGAGATGTACTCCTTTTTAAAAATACTGAGGACTTTTGTTCACTTGTACTTAGAAATTTTACATTTCTGAGCATAAAGGGTATTGGCCTACAATTTTCTTGCCCATACTGAGCTGGGGAGATTTTTGCCTAAATTTCTTTTAGTTTTAAGTCTATTTGGATTTTTAAAAATTTCTTCTTGACTTCGTTTTTGTAGGATATACTTTTCTAAGACTTACTCATATTTGTTTAATTTGAAATTTTATTTTATTGATAGCTGTGTCCTGTTTCCCTTTCTCTTGCCAGAGGTTTTTTTAAATCTTTTCAGAGAACCAGCCTTTTTCTTTGCTGATCCTGTTTTGATTTAATTTCCTATTATTGTCTTTCTTTCCTTCTTTCCACATTCTTTGATTTACAGTTTGTATTATTTTTGTTCTAAATTTTTAGGTAAGACACTTAGTGCATTAAGAGTTTTAAAAAACATTTCTTCTAATTGTTGTATCTAACTTATTCTCTGTGTACTAGTTAACAGCATGTCCTGAGCTGTTGTTCAATTCCTAACATTTTCTCATTTTCATTTTTTCTTTCTTGACTCATGAATTATAAAGTATGTTTTTAAATTTTCGAACATATGGATATTTTCAGTTATTTTTTAACATGCTCTGTATGATAGCCATTCTTTGGGTTTTGTTGAGATTTGCTTTGTGACCTAATGTGTGTCTGTGTGTGTGTGTCTCTAATGTTCTATATATGCTTGAGGAGAAAGTGTATTCTCTAAATATTGAGGTAGAATTTTCCTTATATTGTGATGGTCAGATCTTCCTTATCCTAACTTAGCTTTTATTTGATAGAATTGTCAATCACTGAGAACTGTTTTAAAATTTCCTATAATTGTGTTTGGGCCAGCCCCATGGCCGAGTGGTTAAATTCGCACTCCAGCTTCGGCGGCCCAGGGTTCTACTGGTTTGGATCCTGGGTGCGGACCTAGCACCATCTCATCAGGCCATGCTGAGGTGGCATCCCATATAGCAGAACTAGAAGGACCTACAACTAGAATACACAACTATGTACTCGGGGGCTTTGGGGAGAAGAAAAGAAAATTTCTCATAATCATGGATTTGTCAATTTCTCTGTATTTTTACATCTCATTTTGGTTCGTGTAATTTAAGATTAAATTGTTAGATATATAAAAATTGAGAATTATTATGTATTTCTGGTGAATGTCTTTACTATACAATGATCCTTATTATTCATAATAACATTTTTTACCTTAATCTGTTTTGTGTGATACTCATATAGCTCTATATTTTTCAGGTTTCTTTCTGCCAGCTGATTGCGTGCTGTTAACCGTGCCTTTCTCACCTCTTTTTTTCCATCTTTCTCCCTTCTCTTGTATCACACGATTTGTCTTTATTCCTTTCTTTTTCCTCTAAAAGTATGGAAGAAGTTATGCCTTCTGTTTCTATTCTTTGGATGAATAGACCTCTACCACAATTTATTATTTCCATTTTCCTGTGATGGACCACACCTGAATTTATGCTGAGACGACGCCTAGTGGGGCTCCTAGATAGTTTCAGGATGGGGACTGGTAGCCTGAAGAACAACCCTGTGATTAGAGGGTTAAAACTTTCAGCTCTCCTGCCTACACGAACACAAACACACACACACACGTCCCAGGAGGGAAGAGAGGCTGGAGATTGAGTCATTTCTGGGCTTCCTCTTTCCAGGCAAAGTAAGGGGACTACTGTGTGTCTGAAATTTTTGCTCCCTTTTGTTCCAGGGTTCCTCTCAGGTAAACTAGTTTGGGAATGTCCCAGGAACCCCAAAGAGGCCAATAAAATAGATTCTTTAGTAAAGTTTTGCCAGCAAGGAAGAAAGCGAATAGTACAGTAGTCCCCTCTCATCCTTGAGGGATATATTCCAAGACCCTCAGTGGATGCCTAAAACTGAGGATAGTACCGAGCCCTATATATACTATGCTTTTTCCTATACATACATATTTGAGGTGCAACAGCAAAACAAGCACAGACTTCTTTTTCCTTCATAATTTCATGGGTGGAAGATTCATTCTTACAGTTGATCTTAGCAACCTCAGTATACGATTCTTTTTCTTACTATGCCAAGAACTTTCACATTTTAACTTAAAGGAAGCACTTTATGGCTTCTCTTTGGCATATGTGAATTGCCAGCATCACTACTCTTGTGCTTTGGGGCCATAATTAAGTAAAATAAGGGTTACTTGAATACAAGCAGTGCTATACCATGACAGTCAATCTGATAAGCAAGATGGCTACTAAGTGACTAAAGTACAAGTAGCTTATACAGCATGGATACGCTGGATAAAGGGATGATTCACGTCCTGAGCAAGTGGGATGGCTCGAGATTTCATTATGCTATTCAGAAAAGAGTGCAATTTGAAACTTATGAATTGTTTATTTCTGGAGTTTTCCATTTAATATTTTTAGACCACAGTTGATCATGAGTAACTGAAAGTATAGAAAGCAAAATCATGGATAATGGGGGACTCTGTATTAGGATAGTTGCAAAGCATATAGTCTGCAAGGGTTGGAGAGTGATCGTGTTCAGTCAACTGAGAAGCTCCCATATCCTTAACTAATGGTACCTTATAAACAAAGAGGCCTGGGACTTTATCCCATCCTCCAGAATATACTCAGCATCTTAATCATCAAAATCGGCCTTCACTGTGCTTCTGGAGCACTGGATCCGGAGTCGGACTCACCACCGGTTACCCAAACAAGCACAGACTGGAGACAAAAGTTCTCTATGCTTTCTGAGTCCAGTTGTCGCAGGGTCTGATAGTGGTTCTGATCGAGATCTGAGTAGGGGCACCATAGAACTGTCAGAGGGAAACAGCACTGGATACTTGTTCAAGGTCACAAGATAGACTTAAGTCTAAACTTACAGTGTGTAAACTGAGCTCAACTCCAGCTAAGACAAAGATGACAGATTTTTAAAGGGAGAACAGAGAGGGAACAAAAAGGGGTAATGAGGAAGTAAAAAAATGGGAACAAATTAAGGGACCAAGGAGGTATAGGGAAACAGAAAAATTACAGAAGGAGGTTAAGTGGAAAATTACTGAAAATGGTTTGGGAACAGTGTTAGGACAAAATACATTTTTCAGTTTGGCAGCATTGCATGTTCTTGTACAAAAGAGTCAGCACAGGGGCTGGGGTCACCTTTAGGGACACGGCCTAGTGCAGGTGGAAACCAGGTTAAAGTTTGGTCAAGTCTCTTAGCACAGTGTTCAGGAAAGTCCCTTGTGTCACATGGAAGTTCACAGTTCACAGAGTGACTAAATTAGGGTGGTATCTTTGGTTTTGAATGTTGTAGAGTGGAAGAGCAGTTTGGGTTGGTACAGGACCCACAGCTTACTACTGAACAATCACAGATGTTCATGATCCAGACAAACAGCAGGTTATCCTTGAGGAAACGGCCAGCCTGCTGGATTGGATAACACTGTAAAGTTTGTTTACCCACAGGGGGACAGTCCAACTCCCCCATAAATGCCAAGTGGAACATTCCACATGAAGCAGCTGATATGCTTCGTATGCAAGCTATGTGGGACTGGCTTTATGATAATCAAGATTATTATCACCCACAAGGTATGCCTGTTACCCGAGAGCTCGTTGTAAATGCTGTGGTTAAGGGGGCCCTTTTGTGTGGGATCCCATGCTACAAAATTGAGCAACAGTCTGAATAGCCTTATAGAATTTGTTGTCTCAGCTTCTCCCCAGGGGTCTTACAGGTGCTAATACAAATATTAAATCAATGAATAATAAAATGAGGAAAAGTAGAGGGGGAGTCAAGGTCATTGTCCCAGCAAGGTAGAAATCTTTAGATGGTTATTAAGAAATGGGATGAATAAATTAGATGGAGTTGTAACAAAGGTCTTAATACAGCACTATCAAAGGTTGGGTGGACCAAAGGAACCCCCTGCTAGTCTCTCCATATTAAAGAGTTTCAAACAAGTCTACTCTATTTACCCCAGTTTGGAAGGATTTTAAAAGCCCAAAGGCAGAGATTACAATGAAACACCTGACCTGGGATCCCCTGAGGCAATAGTCAGATTAATCAAGATGAAGACTGACAAAAGGGCCTAGGTCTCTTGGCTGGACACCAGCTGAGGACACAAGGTGTTATGCATGGAATGAGTGGGCAGAATGGCCAGGGAGTGGAAAAGAGAAGTTTCTGGGACTCCTTGACAAGTGACCCTCATACACTGTGGGCATCAAAACCCACTGGTGAGGCCCTAAAGGGAGCGGCAATTAGACTGAGAGAATATAGAAGTATAAGGGTTGATGGGATTAGAGTGGAGGTTAGGATGACAAATGGAATGTTTAAACAGGCTCTACGTGAAATGATTGTGTCTCTTTGTCTCATTTACCTGAATGTATTATGTGGATGGACATTGTGTCTGACTGGGAAATGTTTCCTCTGCCTAGTACAAATCTTCCTCAACTTACAATGGGGTTATGTCCTGATAAACCCATCGTAAATTGAAAATATCATAAGTCAAAAATGCATTTAATACACCTAACCTACTAAACATCATAGCTTAGTCTAGCCTACCTTAATGGTGCTCAGGACACTTATAATAGCCTACAGTTGGGCAAAATCATCTAACACAAATCCTATTTTATAATAAAATGTTGACTATCTCATGTATTTTATTGAATACTATACTGAAAGTGAAAAACAGATGGTTGGATGGGTACAGAATGGTTCTAAGTGTATGGGTCCTTTACCCTCATGATCACGTGGCTGACTGGGAGTCGCACTTGCTGCAGCTCCGTAGCGTCACAAGAGAGTATCATACCGTATATTGCTAGCCCAGGAAAAGATAAAAATTCAAAACTCAAAGTTTGGTTTCTATTGAAAGTGTATTGCTCTCACACCATCATAAAGTCAAAACATCCTAAATCAAAACATCGTAAGTCAGGGACCTTCTGTATTGTGAAACACAAGGCATGTAAATCCACCCTTCAAATAATATTAATTGTACATGCTAAATGGGAACAAATGAGATTGCCTGAGCCTACACAGTACAGAATAAAACCTGGAGTGCTGGTATGGGTGAATTCTCTGTACCGCAGACCTAGGTGAAGCATAAACTGGGGCTTATGGCAAAAACCCGTGAACACCTCCCAGTAATAACTACTGGGACTTTGAACTACAGAATTTCCGTTTGAAGAGCAATTGCTAGCTTGCTATAGGACATTAATTGAAACTGCCCCTATGATGGAAGG